CCCCCCCCCCCCCCCCCACTTCTCTCCCAAGGAGCAAACAAAGACTAAGAGTTCAGGGGCATGACACATGACTGCGAACCGAACGGTTGCTCTGTGTGTTTCCCCTTGAATGCTCTTTGCTGACCACTGAAACACGACACTTGACGTGGAAATCAGTTCTTTCCTTTGTTCATTATAACGGCACACAGATTGTTTTTTTAAATTATTTTATTTGTTGCTGCTCCGTTGTTTAATTTTATTATTTGTTTATCTCTGACTCTGTTTCTCCTTGTGGGCGCATACCGTACTGCGTGACTCTGTGAGTGGTGATCGGGCTAAAACGCACGTATAGGGAGCCGGCGAGATCGTGTGCAGCCGAGTACGAACAAGGATAGGTGACAGGTAGAGAGGCAGAGCGAGATAGGAAGAAGAACAGACAACATGAGCGTCATCCCCTCTGTGCTCCTGCAGATGTTGGTGGTGCTAGCGCTTCTGGCCAGGGATGGCGCCCTGGCGTTGTGCCCATCGGACGGAAACACTCACGTTGTTTACGTGACCTCCAACATGGGCGACAACATCTGGAGCTTCGATACAACCGGCCACTACATCGGAAACGTGCTCAACAAGAGCTCCTTCCCCTTTCGGGTCGACAAGCTGCGCGACATGAGGTTTGGCCCCGGTAACCATTTGTACATCTCTAGTGCCCGGGGACAATACAGCCGTGTCTTCGCCGTTTCAGGGAATGGCCTCTTAAATAACACCCTCGGAGAGAAGTGTATTCGCAACTACCTCTTCACCGCCACCACACAGAGCAGCAGCAACCCATTCCTTGACCACCCATATGCAATAGCGTTTCATCCCGACGATGACTCACTTTATGTAGCGAATCAAAACTCCGCCACTATTACAAAGTATACACGGACCAATGCTGATAAGCCCGGGTACCCAGAATGGGAACCCATTGCGAATGTGAAACACGCCACCTCAAACTCTACTGATATGCCTAAGGGGCCGAGCAAAGCGGGGCTTTTTGCTTCATCTTGGAGTGCAGAGTACTCGATGGCCTCCGTGCGTGGGTTGGCAATCTCACCCCCACTCCCACGTGCCCTTGTAGAGCAGGCCGCTCCCGCAGGGTGGTTCGCCACGGAAAGGAATTACCTTACGCGTTACATTCTCGTCTGTGACGTCGCACTGGACCAGGTCCAAGTGTTCCTTGCTGACACTGGTGAGCATGTGTTTGCCATCCCCGTCGCTGCCCCGGTGCAGGTGCTCTTCCCTTCACGTTATCTAAAGCCAGTGGATTCACCGGCCTCGTACTTTGAGGTGCCGCACGTGTACGTGACAAGCCGAGAAGACGGAATGGCGTACTTAGTGCCTTTCTTGGCACCGCAGCAAAAGACGGATGTAGTCGGCATCACCACTCTTACACAGTATCGTGGATCACCGTATGCAATCACGAACAGAGTGCCGCAGCACTCTGTCAGTGGTATTTTTGAGAACCCCTCGCATGACATGCTATTGATAGCGGACCGTTCTGGTCGGAAAATCTCCACTTATGCCTCGCCTTTCTTAACGAACTTTGAGGCTGGCACGGGACCGTCTCCGCTCCTTGGATACTTCACGACCAAGTTGCCTGATGAACCAGAGTTCATTGTTACGACGATGGTGGAGCAACAAAGCTCTATTCCGTTTTGTTATGAGCTTAGTGAAAATGGTACTTTCCGCTACGTCGCTCTGTGCACGGCAGCGTATATTTGGACGGCAACACTGATTATGTTCTGTATTGTGGGAGCCATAGTTGTGCTTGCTCGGGAGGTGCGGCATTGCCAGGAGCGCCGTAGAAGGCAAAGGAAGGAGAGACAATTCATGCCAGAAGTTGAAAACTCAGAGGAGGTACCGCTTGTCAGTGAGGCCCGTGTGGGTGGTTATGGTACGGGGATGGTCAACTAATAGATGCGCTATTTTTATATTCAAGAACATGGTAGGATGGATGTTGTTAATTGCCACATCCATGCACGTGTTGCTAGTACTGCGTATTGTGATCTTAATGAGTTCTAGGAATTAAGGAGAAGAAAAGAATGAATGTGATCAGAGGCGCACAGAATGCAAGGAGGCAAAGGTGAATTTATTTGATACTGTGGATGGGAGAATGGAATGCGTGTTTGTGTTTGTTGTTGTGCTTGTGTGTGTGTGTGTGCATGTCTGAGGAGAGTTGTGCCTACGCCCATCGAGTGATGAGGAGAGCCCGATATAAGGCAAATGGGATGAAGGGAATGACGCGGCATAATATGGTCACATGTAAAGTGTCATTAATATGATATATACAAGAAAGGAAATGAGGTGAACCAAGCCGTAGTGATGAAAAAAAAAA